AATGAACAGTAAGCGAATGTGATTATCATCTGAGAGCATGGAGAAAATACTGAAAACGAATATATTTGCTACCAAGCCATTAGACTTTAAGTGCCTCCTCAAGGACATATATTAGTATGCCAGTATGAAGGATTTAATTCTTTTAAAACTGCATACTCACAATTACTGGTCATCGAGGCTACGAGAAAGCTTTGTCGGAAAGACTTTCATTTAGTATGACAATGCATAATGGAAAAATCGCAGTTCGATCTCACCAGACTAAGACTGCTAATTCTCGTACTGCAGCCGTCCATGCGAAACGAGGGAGGATGTCACACGGACGGTGTCATATTAAAGCTAAACTACTACAGCACAACAAGAATCGGTCGTCGTTTCTGGTGAGATCGACCAAAATTATCTTCATTATGCACTTGCATACGAAACGAAAGTCGTCCCAACAATGCTATCTTAGAATATTCATCGAAAACCAATCACTCTTCGTATCTACGAGGAAGCTGTTTGGTGGCACTTGCTTCTTCTTTTCTCGCAAAGATAGTAAAACCAGTCTATTGTTTTGGCATGTCTACATCTCGCCACACTTCTAATGTGCTTTTGTTTATGCCTGGATCCGGTTTGACAACCTCGAGAGATTGACAGATTACAGCCCAGCACAAGGGTTTGAAGAGTAGGGGAAGGGCCTCATGTGATTTTTAGGCACAAGTCTACAACAATCTATGCAGGTAGCATAAAAGCTGGAGCATGATTCGGTTAACCTACATATTCTTTGAATCCAACCTCAATTATCATTAGAAAGCGATAGGAGAGTGTTCCAGCATGGCAAGATGCAGTGTTAACCGTTCGATTAAAGGAAGACTTAAGACGCAGAACGAAAATAACGCCCTAAAAAGATAATTGGTTTATATTATTCTTGGTACAGAAGTAAGAGGCTAGCCAACTTTAAGAATCCCGCATGGTAGACCAATCCTCGTAAAATTCTGCATCTGCATTGAATCAAAGAAGATAGAAAATCTTTTATTCCAGGATTTACTCCTCGTTATCGACTATCATATTTGCATACGACGTCTTGTTCACAATGAAATGTTTGTCAGTAGCCAAGCCAACAACAGTCAGTCTATCGTTGGTGCACAACCAGACAGACTCCAAACAACTTCTCTTGGCCCTTGTGCCAGCAGACCATCCGCTGATGACCTATACGAGAATAGGGCCTGTAAACAACTTCCGTGTTCACTATGCTTCTTCCTATTTCGCCACTTCTATCCAGCATAATGGGGATGGCGAGTCGAATAGAGAGTGGAGAAGAGAAATTGGCGTAGACGGTCGAGTTTCCTGGTACAGCAGGTTGAAGCTGGCCTTGAATGATATGAAGTGGGTGCAGGTAGAGGCGGATTAGGAACAGACCTCTAAGTTTGACCCTTGCGCAATGCCCTCATGCTAGAATACGTGACCTGGCCCGGAAACAGTGTATTGGAGGGGTGTGGA